AGCGATCTCAGAGTTAAGCCAAATAGATCAGTTTACGGTGCTTTTGGAGGCATCAATTTACTCAGTCACTTGGAAAATCTTACTCCCCTACTGCCAAAAATCTGGGACAATTCACTATTCTAATATATTTGGTGGCCTGCACTGTGGTGTATAGATGTGTTTGCTTAGTAGAATTAGGAATCTGTAAAGCAAATTTTACACAGCAAGCCCTTCCCCCTCTTGTGCTTGAGGGCAAAGTAAAGAATAAGATGCACAGGGAATTTCCTGCCCCTGTAGAAAGACAAAAAGCTAATGAATGCTTCTGGCCTGTAGCAGACCTGGATGTAGCCTTCCAGCCAGTGATCACTTATGCAGCCCTCAGAAGCAAATTATAACTAGATACAGGTCTGAGTGATCTTGTTCATGGGGAAAAGGATGCCAAGAGCCTGCTGTGAGGAATCCTGTCCTGACTGGTAGGATTTCTCCCATGCTGAACAGCATCTTTTCTCTCCTTCATTGGATGGACAGTATTCCGGTCCCGCTATTAAATGGCTTAATATACTATCCTTGTTCTGTAATGGGACAGGCTTAAGCAAGCTTGTAGGTGTGAAGGAAAAGGCTGTTAGCTTCCTGTATCAGTGGTAATTACATGAAGTAGGCTTATCAATGATGACCACATGCTACTACCATTATGAAAATGGACTCTGTGAAAGTGAAAATAGATGAACGTTGCCGTTTGGAGTTTTTTTTGACAGATTTCTTTTTTTTTTTTTTGTCCTCCCCATGGTGTGAAATGGCATTTGGCAAAAAGTATCTGAATACTGGAATGCGTCATTTGGTGCCCTAAATGTTTACGTCCAAATGATGACACAACATGCTGCAAGAACAAAGGTCTGTTGGCTGGAATCTGAACTGGTTTCCTAATTCACACCTGTGCATTGGCAGACAAGCAGCCATCAATCACAGACTCCCATGTATCCTGGCTACAGTGCTATGGGCAGGGCTGGAAACATTTCTCAGAGTGCTGATGGGAGGGTTCCGGTAAGAGAAAACAGTAGAAGAAAAGTAAGAAACCAAAGGTAATAGAATTACAGGAAACAGGGCTGGAAGGGATATCAGGAGGCTGTATTGACTATACTTGTGTAATTCCTGACAGGTGAGATTAAAAAAATCTCTTTGAAATGCATTATGGCCACAGAGCCACAGGTACAATTTGTTAGAAACAAATTACTCTCTACATCTGCTAAATATTAAAGCACCATTGCAAAATGGCAGACAGCAGTTTGAATTGCTGTACAAAAGTTCCTATATCTTGTTTTATTCAGGTATATATAAACTATCTGTATAAAATATTTATCTACAGGATGGCAGACTATAGGTGTGCATTATTTTGTTACACTCTGACAAGAAATGGAATTTGTCTAGAGTAAGACTTGTGTAGCACACATGAAACTGGGCTCATAATCAGCTTGTACAGCTTTCAGTTTTATGGATGGATTTTGTGTTTGAGAAGAAAAGTAAATAAAAGCAGATAAAAAAGAAAATTAACTACTATACAGCTAAATCATCTTTAGAAAGGTATCAAGGCCAGGTCTCCTCATTAGTTTCTTTCTTCATTAGTACTAGAAGAACAAAGAACAGCATTTACTCTATATTCTAAAGATTAATTGAAGTGGGGGATGGAACAGTGAAATTGAATTAGTAAATTATTAACCAATTTCTAAGTAATAAGAAATAATCTATTACAGAGTCTATCCCTCCATCTAGAGATTTGTCTTAAGCATTTGTCTTTAGGAGAGAAGGTGGAAGGAATAAAGGGACACAGACCAGAGACAATCCATCAAGTCAGCTATTGGAACATGAATAATGAAGACCTTTGAACTTGGCAAATTTTCCAGATATCTCTCTCCTTACTGTGACTTACAGATTGTCTGAGGGTCACTGCTTAATCTAATGCCCTCTTTTTAATTTTTGCCCCAACGTTATTAAAAATGCTCCCATTATAATCTCAGCAGCTGACAGTGAAAGCAACAGTTAACAGGCCTGAATCTGGCAGTATGTCAGCTCAGGAACTCCCTCCAGCCTGCAAATACAACTCCACCCACTCATATTTTCAGGAGAGAAGCCTAGTGCCAAGGCAGCGCTGGCGAAGGTGGTGACTGGGGAAGTGGAGATTCTGGCTTCTTTGATTTCTGAGGCTGCCTATGAACAACCGGGTTCTTTCTTGCTTTTTGAGTCAAACCTCGCTTTGATGGCTGGAAGGTTTCCTCTTTGCTTATTTCTGAATTAAAACTCTGATTTACTTTTAGAAACCATAGTAAGTAACACTAGTGTCCAACTGAAACCAACAAACTTGCCTCGTGTAAAGTTCTGACTAGGAGGAAGGGTCTGGCTTTCACTACGGATACTTCTCAATAGCCTCATGGTTTAGAGGTGTTTCGAAGCAGCTCACAGGGGTGAGATTTTAATCTATCCATTCCTACTGACTCCTGGTGTATGGGATGTGCTTGCAGCATGCATGAAAAGATTGGGCAGGAGGAGGGGAGAAGGCATGTGGGGTACAAACAAGCACCTCCACCCATCACAACTGCCTGGTGGAGGTTATGGCTCTCCTAAATCCACTGAGGCCCTTGGTCTGGCAAGGGTTAAAGCCTTTACACCAAGTGTAAAGCTCTATTCCTCTCTGCCTGTATGATGGTCTCCTTCTGACCTACTTCATATTTGTATCTCTCAGTTCACAGCTGCAGCCCACAATACAGACACAGTCTCTGCTCAGAAGTACAAATGTGTTTTGTCCTATAGCCTAACTGTGCTCCACAGTCTATAGGGCCCTATGAATGGCCTTAATGGATTTTAGAGGCTGGAAGTAGGATTTTTTGGAAAACCTCTACCCAGCAGAACCTGAGTGCCAGATTTCCCTGGCTGGGCTGCAAACTGTGCAAACATACATTGCTTTCTCTCAGACTTCTGCTTAGGCTTTGGTGCAAGCCCACAAACAAATACAGTACTAAATTCTTTACTCCCACCTCCAGTCTTAAATGAATAGCTGCTTGACTCATTGTACCCTATGCACACCTTTAATGAATCACTTCAGCTCCAGCGATGAGCCTGTCTCCCCATCCTTGTTCCCTGTATGTCAACACCCCTGTCTCCTCCCCACTTTGGTCCAATGGCTTAGACCATCTTCCAGGTACTTCCAGGGCCTGCCAGGAGTGGGAAGTGGCAGAAGGACACAGTTGAAATTGTTCTGTGCCTGGCTCACTTTCACCTCAAATGATGCTCCTGTTGTTCCCTTTAAGCTACAGCTCTCAGTTCACATTCAAGAGGGGCCTGAATCCAATTTCTCCCTTTCATCCCTCCATCCAAATGAGTGTTGGCTCTGGTTTGTAAACAAGAGAACAGCTACACACTTCAAGCAGCTGGTTCATAGTTGCTCCAGAGTACACCCTGCCACTGAGAAAGAGTGAGAGGAAGCTCCTGGACTTGTTCTCTCAGCTTCACTGTATAATTGGACTCTAAACCATGTCAGACCCAAGGGTAGACCTACAGTGATTGCCTGTTGTTGGGCAACACTGGCTAGTGATGATTTCTCAGCAGAGCTTTCACTTGGAAAGTTTCGTTCCTTCTTAAAATGCTCTCATGATGCTGTGAGCGGGGATGAGCTACAGTAGCATCCACAGCAATGCACTTCTGGATCTGGCTCTCCCATCCCTCATGCCTGGTGTATACTATGCAAGGTTCTGCTCATACTGCTGTATAGAGACACGCTACATAGATGGAGAAAACCTGCACAAAATCCTTCTGACTAGTTTGTATTCACTTTTCCTCTGTGCCTAAGGGGCAGGCTTAGAGTCTCTGAAAAATTCTGCTTTCTCCTTATATCCCAAGCCCTTTGAGTTAAACCATTACAAAGGAAGATACAGAGATAGTAAAGGAACAAGGGATTTTCTTGTAATTTTAGCATTTATTACCTTCTTAAAGATGCAATTGTATAAAATAAGTGATGTCCTGGCAAAGGCTAGTGTTATCCTGCGCCAGACAATTTTATCACCCTAGTCCATGAAGGCTCTAGTGTACAACATAAAGCTGCTTTGCTTTCCGACATGCCAGTTTTTTCAATGCCAGACCTCCCTTGGCGGCTCGAAGGAGTTTTCCTCCAGATTTAGCCCCTCTTTAGCATCCTTCTGCCCTCCTGTAGGTACCACCGGCGCTGAGCCGGAGCTGCCCCGAGCGACCGGCTCGGCGACAGGAGGGGGAGCTCGCAGCGCGCCGGCTTTAATCGGCGACTTAATTTAGCAACGCTGCAAAATCACCACTGCAGCTGAGGTGTCCATAGGGCCCTTCTCAACACCTCCTCCCCCACCCACCGCAAAAAAAGAAAAAAACCCCAAAAAACAGGAGAAAAGGGGAGTTTATACTGGGGTTCAGGTGAGGATGGAGAATTTAACTAAATTAAAGGGAAGTTGAGAGTTGATGAGGTTGCTGGGCAGTGATGGAGATAGTGGATCTTAATATATATTTACAGCACTAGCAGCAATGAGTAAGGTGCTCCCAGTAGTAAACAACACTTTTCTTCTGGTAAACTGGAGCAGGTTCACTGCTGTTGTACGTTCCTCAGTTCAGCTGAGGTATCAAGGGCTGTGCTCACTTACACTAGCACTGAATTTAGCTGTATATATACTAGGACACCCACGAAGGGAACAATGCCATGCCAGTGGAAAAGTCTGACAAAAGTGAGACAGGAAAGCATTGACTACCAGTCTCATCATAAAGTTATAAGACTGATCAAGCTCTCCTCTTCAGTATAAATTCAAGTCTGTGCAGTTACACGGAGTCATAGGGGCACAGTTTGGGTTCATGCACAAACTCTGCCACACCTTTAGGCCTGACAAAAGGCTCAGCCCAAGTTAATATCACGCTTCATAAAGTTAGGATGCTTTTCTGAAAAATTCCTCTTGGACTTGAAGGCACCACACTTTTCTTCTTTTGCTTTCACTGTTTTTACCCTTTTCTCTGAGAAGTCAGCTGAAGGCAGGAGCTGGGAAAAATTCCTAACCCGTCAAAGCACCTTCCTGAAGATATTTCTCCCTAAGGATGCAGAGGAAATCACAGCTTTCAGATTGCATTTGTCCAATTTGTTAGACAAAACTAACATCAGCTTTTACGGAGGTAAGCCACGAGGACAACCTGTGTCTGTTTCACAGCAGTAGTGAGAGCAGCTTTTTTTGGTGATAAGACCAAACCCTGCCTACCTTTGCACACAACCTGCTGGTGCAGTACTGCAGCTGAGCTTGCCTTTAAAATGGACAGTATTTTCCTTAATGCAGACAGTCGTGTAGAAAGTTAATCTCCTAATATTGTAGTGATATGTTGAAGAGAGATTTATTTTAGAGCCCCCTAAGTGCTTGCATTATTCTCCTCTGTATAATTTCCATGAAAATTCCCAAATTCGATATCTGGTAATCTCTCATAAGACGGCTTTTTAAGGTAAAATATCCCTCTCCTTATCTGTAAGGTCATGACCCTCATTATTAGTGCAAGCTGAGCCTACGACTAGTAAAAAAGAGCCTACCTCTTGAGCTAGAAGAGAAAGAATCTAGATAGATCAAACTATTTAGTGCCAAATTAAATAATTTCCTGATGAGCTTTCCCAGATAGAGGGTTGTATCTTCCCTTGCTGTGGAATAGGAGCAGGGTTCTCTGCAGGCACAGAAAGCTTTCTACAGATACAGCCCTGTGATTCATTTAAACAGAATGAACCTCATTCTTAAACCCATCTAAAAATGTTAGTGGAATCATGAACACTGACCTTAAAATGAAAAATGATTTGCAACCTTTGCAGAGGTGTCTTTATCATAGTGCCACGATTTAAAGTATTTTATCCACTCAGCTACACAATCTTACCATTCATTTGCAGTTGTCATTTTACCTACAAAAGCATTCACTTAATACCCCCCAAAGCAAGAGGAACTTAACGAGTATTACAAGGGGAAAATTATTACTAGTATATTATATAGAAAGGCTGTAAAGTTCAAACAGAGGGAGTTGTGTGTGCACACCACGTTTCATGCAAATTACACTTAATAGTTTAACACTGCATTACATTTTGCCTCCTGAATAAAAATGCTTCTTTAGTTATTTTTCTAATAATCTGTGTAACTTTGGGGAACTAATTAAGGCAAACCATTTCCAACATGCCTGTTTAGCTGCCTATATCAAGTGGCCTGATTTTCAAAAGTGCTGACTACTGAAGCTATAGTAAATATTTAGCGTCCCTTACTACCTGGTAATTTTTATGTGGTCAGTGTAAATTTAGGAGCCCTATGTGAGCTACCTATGTGATATTTGTGCTTTAATTATTTTAACTGTAAGCCCATAGCTCACAGTAAGAAAATTAAATCTAAGAACCATTTTTAGTAAGCTTATTTCTCCTCTCCTTTCCCCTCTTTTGCTCTAGGAAAAGATGCCAACCTACAATTCTTTCAATGTAAAGGTGCTTCTGTAGCTGCAGAAAAATGCTGACATTGCTCCTTGATTGCAAAAGGAGCATGTGACACATAATTAATCCACATATGGACAAGAATGTCTTCCAAGACTGGAAATGGAAAACTAATCAAGAGCACATATGACACACTGGATCCAACACACATGGTTCACTAGGACTTCTTGGCTGCCTCACATCTGGCTGGCTCAGAGCGCAGGCAGAACGGCACATGACTGCCTGCCTTCTTTCATGGAGACATCTGTTGAACTGAAGCCTTCAGTTTCATCAGCTTAGTGAGTGCTAAAGTATGGTTTATCTTGCTTGGACTATGGTTTTGAATGTATTCATTTGCTTCCAGTGAACGAGCACAATCCAATATGTATATTTTGATTCCTAAGCCTTTGGCTTGGTCTATACACAGATTTTGTACTCATATAAGTAACAAAAGTGCTAGCACAATTATTTTTTTTTTCTTTTAAATCCAGGGACATATCTCACAGAAGAAAATCTCCTCTGGCAATTGACTTGAAAACTGCACACCAAGACCTTATTTTGAAGGGCCAAACTGACTACTGCTACAGATGCCAAATTCTCATTGGCTTTAGCAGAGGATCTACTTCAGAAAGGATGGAGGTGTTGTGGTTTATATCACTGTGTTGGCTACTGGAAGCAGCTGCGCTTTCCAGTCACATGGAGAATTATTGAGGTCTCAAACAGGATGCTGAGGTTCCCAAGGTTGAGCACCTCTGGAAAGGTTTAGATTTGGTTTCCCAGGAACTTATATCTTTCCTCAAAATGTAGATGAACATGAAGACAAACTAATTCTTCATTGCTGGATGCCATATGTTATATAAAGATTTACAGAGCTGTTTGTAGCAGGTGCTTTGGCTGTGCTGTTTACTGCTTCAATGAGAGACCAAGTTAGATTTTTATATTCCTCTCCCATAATATTTAATGAGCAATATTTATGCTTATGTCAGAGATATGCTTTGAGCCGTGATTATTATCTGCAATTTTGCACTGTAATACGATGTCCAACTTCAATACTCACTGTTATGAGGCACCGTTACGAGGCAGTGGTCCTTGTCGTCTGATCTTACAAAACGTAGAGAGTGGTTATGGTTTTCGAGGCTGGAAAGGTCTGTGAATGTGAGTAGTGAATTATGAAACTGGTGAATTTTTTGTGTCCTGAATCTGAAGAGCAGCCAACCAAAGCAACGTGCCTACAATATATATACACACATAAAAATGCACACGCGTACTCGCACATAAACAATACAGGTATGGATACAAAAATTCAGCTCTGTAAGTGTGTCCTGAATCAAATATACTAAAATAAATCTCAACTATATTGTCTCAAAAGCATCCCATAAATAGAAAAGTGCTCAGATGTGTTTGACCCTGCTGGCAGGGTACCATGCATCACCTGCTCTGTAATACCTCACTTGAAGTACCTGACTCATCAGTCATGCTGCCTCCCTTTTACAATGGGCTAAGGGATGGGCAAAATCTCCCATCTCATGGGAGGCTATTTATTGGACCCTGTAATGCAGAAAGGAGCTTGAGCTCTATTTCTGAGAGAAAGGGCTAACATGAGGCTAATTCAAAGGAAGCACGTGGGACAAGGCCCTGGTGGGGCCAAATCACTGTGAATGTATCGAAGTGGAAATTTTCATCAGCTCAAGACAAGGGCTGATGTACTTTGAAAACACAGAGCCTTAGTGAAACAGAACATCATTTCTCTTTAAATATCTGTTAACTGTTACAGCACTTCAAAATGCAATTGAGGGGCAAAGATTGCAAAAGTACTTCAGGCTTCCCCACAAAATTCGTCTTAGTAGGACTATGTTTGAGGTACAAATCTTTCAGAGAGATCTTTGCACAGAGGCTTTTAATTATTTTCATGGAAAGATGGTGAAAGGAAAGTAGACAGTGAGCTATACTCATGCACGGGTTTGTGAGAGAGGGGGAGGGAGGGAGGGAGTCTAATGTCAAGGAAATCGTCAAATCTGGAAAAACCTGTCAAAAAGGGCTTTCACAGTAGCTCTCTTTGTGAGAACAGTTCTTCAAGCAAGTCCTCTTGGGGCTGAATCACACAATTCATGAGAGAGAATTGGTGGGTAAAATAGTAGCAATGATCTTTAAAAAAGAAAGTCCAATTTCCACTTCCCATTTTGTCATAAGCTGTCAGGAAGCGTTACACAGTGCTATTAAACAGCTGTTGCCTTTCTTCTTCAAGATGGGTGATGTAATGCTGGTAGAGAGCATTGCTCTCCCTCGATCTGTGAAGTGTGGTGGAAATCTCCCTAACACCCACCCATACGGTGAAATTGTGGTTGCCCTAGATGGTTTTTCCTCCTAAATTCAAGAAATTCAGTTCTGTTCCCTGGGACATTCCTGGACTGAGATTAATATTTTTCTTGCAGAGATGGATGCTGTGACCAGCAACTGTCACATTGGATGGTTACAGGTCTGGGTGAGGAGACAGTGGAGAAACTGGAGAGAGGATGGTGCGAGAGGAGATAGCCCTTGAACTAATGGAAGTTGTTTTTTATTAGCTAGTCCAAGGAACTACTTCAGCATGCTTTTGTTTGACTGCTGACAGGTAACAGTTCTATAGTGGCATCTACCCTCTGTTAGGAGACTTGGAAAGGAATTAAGACTGCACTTTAAACAAGGTCTCACTGGCTTTTGTTGACATCCTCCTGATTGACACAAGCACAGATGAGAAGAGAACCTATCCTCAGGGCTTATAAAAAGCCCCCACATTTCTAAACTAATTTTTTTGTGTGATTAAAGCTGGCAGACTGCTGGTGCTACCTCAGAGAGAAGTGAATCAGTACATAGTCACTTGGCTCCACATTCCTGCTTTTCCTTAGGCAGCCAAATGACAGTGAGAGGGGGAGGGAGGAGCTGTGATGAATGTGTTGCAAAAAGCACTAGAGTGCAAGAAGATGGGGGAAGAGGCAAGCAATTCCCTGCTTCAAAGCACCATCCAGCATAGATTTCTAACTCACATGAAGTGGTATATCTGATGGAGATGGTTTGGATGGCTACACTGAGTTACTCAGTGCTGACTCCACTATATGAGCCAAGCTGATGCTATGAGGCTTGTATACCTGAGTCACCATCAGTGCTGTCAATCCATTGCTGAATGGTCCCAGCCAGCAGAACCATCATCCTGCTCAGGTTATCCTCCCTGTAGTAGCTAAAGAATGTCTTTTGTTGTAAGGCATCACTAGGTACTTATGGGATGAGTCTCTCACTGAAGATGGCTCTTGTAGTGGGAAACTGCAGTGGACAGCTGAGTTCTTCACCAAACTCAGCATCTGCTGGGTTCATGTGCTGTGAGGAGATTTTTACACCTGCGTGCAGATGTTAGGTGTTACTTTGCAAGAGTTTATATTTAAAAATCTCACAGTCATTGGTTTATATGGGCTACCAATTCTGCATTTCAGATGCTCCCTTCATCACACAGCTGCATAGGAGAAATTATTGGGACACCTTTACTACTGATCCATAAGGAAAACGGTCCAGCAGAGCAGTGGACTGTGCAAGCTAAGACTCCTAAGAGGAACGAGACAGGCTCTCTCCCATTGCCATTGAAGACAACATCTATTTGCACAGAGTGAGGGATCAAATGACAGTGGGAAGAACCGAGGATTTTCAGTCTTCTCAGAGGAATATTATAAAAAAGCAGAGTAAAAGGAAAAGTGTATAAAATGCCTTGACAGTGCCTTTTAAGAGAGTCACCATGTGTTATTTTAGCCAAGTGTTTATTCATTTCTACTTAATGCTGTGTGCTTAAGTTCTCAAAGCTGCTGGCAATACTCAGTGGAATAATTTTAGAGCAACCTTAATAGAATGAGCAGAATAAAGGATTGTTCAAATATATTGTAGCAAGATAGCTTTTTAATAGAACAAGTTATTCAAAACACCGATGTCTAGGGCTTGTGAATGGAAAAAATCTCCCCTGTGTTTAATTACCCCAGCCTGTCTTTATTTCCTTAGTATAATTCTAAACACTGCTTGCTAGTGCTGGATGTAGTCCAGTTGGAAAGTTGGTATTTGACCAACGATGTGTCTTATTCACAGGCTGGAGGTCCAAACAGGATGACTACAGCCAACCATCCTATCTGACCTCACGCATAATGCAGGTTATGGCATTCTAACCTGCAAGGCCTGCAGTGGAAGGAATTACTCTTTACCGCTATTCCAGATTCAGGAAAGCATTTCTATTTAGAGCAGTACTTAAGCACACACTTAACTTTAATGATATGCTTAATTCCCATGCAGTTAAGTGCAAGTTTGAGTTTACACCTTTGTAAGAAAACATTATGGGATCCAGTAACTCGGTCATACTGAAAAGTGTACTTTATGACTCCCAATGCAAAGTTAAATCTGAAGGGTTTATTGAAAAAAGTCACATGGCTTGCTAATGTGACCTTCAGAGAGACCTGATTTGCTTGGGGATTTTCAGGCCTACAAGGCTCCAGTGGTGTTGCCAGTTGCAGTATGAAAATGCTCAGGAACTATAGGTGATATCCCCTTCCATTTCACTTACTAGAAAGGATATATGAATCAATAATATTTCATTAATTCAGTAACAACCTCTGTTAAACCTCTCTAAAGACAAGAAAGAAAAGAAGCTGATTTTGTCTTGATTTCCAAGGTTTTTTCACTTGCCTGGGGAATGGAGAAAATCTCCACTGCACCATAATACCTTACCTAATTGAGCTCTTAGATTAATGTTTAAACTTCATTTGCAAGTCCATTACCAAATCTAATCAGTTACAAAGGTACCATCAAGGAAAGGATTTTTTTTCAAATCCACTTCTAATTCACATTTCTCCTCACAATCGTCCAAGGCACTGGCAGTGGCTGCAAGTACTGCATTATAGATATTCTACTTATACCAGGAGAGGAAAAGAAACTACAGAATATTTTCAGTGGAGATGATAATATACAAAATTACATTAAATTCATATGCTAGTGTGAGCCAAAAAGGAATTTGTTAAATCCTAAATCTACTGAAACTTTCAATTATCAAAGGAAAACAATACTAATGTTCAGCCTCTTTAAAAATGACGATACCACCTTTGAGAAGGTACTAGATTGATTGCACTGAAAACTTTTCCCTAGATCAATTACCTGCAAGAGATGTGCAGTGTTATCCACGGCATCTTCCAGTGAACTGAAATCCTGGCACAGCCCAGAAGTTTCAGGCCTGCTTAATTTTCCATGCTCATATACTCCTCAGCCCTGTTGCTAATAAATCCTCTTCACATTCAAAGTAAAATGTTCCTTTTGAGCTGCACATCAGAATAGGACCACCAACTTCTCAGTACTTGGGATAGCAAACAATATAAATGCTAACACACAGCTGACCTGACCAAAGCTGAATGGGTGACTTCAAGCCAAAGACTGTCTCTCCCATTACCTAATCCCTGAGACATCCAGACTCCCATTCTCATCAGCACTAAGAAAAAAAATAAATCTGGATTTTATTTTTATAACTGTACTCAGAAGATAAACAAAGCTGAAATCAAGATCTAGAAATGAGCAGTGTGATATTATACAGACACCACTACTTTCAGGGAAATCAAAATTTTGCTGCTGTGTCTGTTAATTGGGGAAAGATCTGCCTACCCAGGGTGGTCGGTCCCCAGCTTTGGAAGGGAGGGGTGTTTAGGGGTAGTTGCTAAAAGTCAGGGGTTTAGTGACCTCTGCTAAATCTCCTGATGCATCTATTCATTTCTTGATCCCTATGCACCCTTTGCAGCCTGCTAACCCTGTCAGCATAGTAATCTCTACAGGAAGCAGTGGTTGGGAAGGAGTTTTGCAGAGTGCTGGGAAGAAAGTAACCCTATTGCTACTACAGCGAAGA